GTGACCAAAGTATTTTCCATCTCGGAGACGCAGTTTCCTTATAACTGAGGCGATCGCCCGGGGAGAAGTCAATGGGGAAAAAGGAGACATATGTAATACTTTAAACAATAAAGAATTTTTTAAAAATGGTGATGATAAGACACACTTAGCGGATATTCCGGCTAGAGGAGGTAAATAAATAAATACCAGCCAGTCCTAGTATTTATTAGTAGCAGGTAGCAGGTGCGCTGCCAAATCAGAATCCTATCTCTCCTTCCTGGTCTTGGGGGTTTTCAGCCTGGCCTCTCTTTGTTTCTCAGATTTGCTAGGCGCCCTTCTCCACTCCCGCCCAACCCCAGCCAAATTGCCAGGCTGCCACCCGAGGCAAGAATTTCAAGGCAGAACAAAAGCGCCAGTGGTGGATAAGGGCAGGAGATTGCGTTTCTAGTTGGCCGTCCTGGCCCAGTCAGCCCAAATTTAGGATGAGGTAGTGCCATATTATGATAACTGAAATCAAGCCCCTAAGATATTCTATATAATACAACCCTAATATGCTAAGTGTCCAGTTGTCCGGTCGGCAGTTCAACCAATTAAAGAGTAATATGCTAATGATATGCTAAGGCTGCTCAACTGCTCGCTATGACGTGCCTTGACCACCACGGGGAAGATGCTTTGACTGGTAGACCAGTAGGTGAGCTTACTGCTGGGGCCTGGCCTATCGGGACTGAGTGAGATGGTCTGGGCATGCCCTGGAGCCCTCCCATGGTCCCTCCCCCACTGGCCAACTCCCACGTTCCTCCCTGCTGCCATCCTGCACTGGTGGAGTCCCTGGGCCTGGCCTATGCCCTCTGGCAATCTGGGACCCCTCAGGGGATGTCCTGCAGGCCAGTCCCAGGGACCCCGCTGGTGCACAAATTCGTGCACTGGGCCTCTAGTATATATAAATATATAAAATTTTAAATATTTTTATTGATTTTAGAGAGGAGGGGAGAGGGAGAGATAGAAACATCAATGATGAGAAAGAATCATTGATCGGCAGCCCCCTGCACATCCCA